TGTTGCTGTGATAAACACCATAGATGAAAGTAACCTGGAGACAACCGCTTTACAGCTTACACATCTCAAGCTACAGTCCACTGAGGGAAGCCAGGGCAGGCGCCCAGGGCAGAAACCTGGAGGTAGGAGCTGATGCCAAGAACATGAAGGAACACTCACTGCTTACTGGCTTGCTTCTTGTGGCTACTCAGCCTGCTCTCTTATACCACTAGGACCAGCTGCCCAGAGGTGGCACCACAGGGCCCTCCCACAGCAATCATTAATTGAGAAAATGCTCCACAAACTTGCCTACAGGCCAATGGAGACATTTTTCTCAAGGTGGCATTCCCTCTTCCCAGGTGTCCTGGCTTGTCTTAAGTTGACAAAAAAAAAAAATCCAACCAGGACACAAGGGAAAATAAACCAACAATTTGCTGGTGCTGCACAGAGCAGTGAAGCCAGGAAGTGAAAAACGCAAGTGAGAAACTCCCATGAGAGGACGAGCAACCCACAGGAGAGAATCCAAGGCTACACTCACCTATGTGGCAGCAAGAGGGGACTGAGAGGTGTAGAGATGTGGTTATGCCAGGAGAGGGTAGCATGGGCAGAGTTGAACAAACCAGACAAAAGAAGACAAACACTTAGCGATGTCACAGAGGAAGCAACATGGGCATTTAGACCAAAAGGATCCACTGAAAGACCTATGAGAACCCTCAGGCTCACCCTCAGAAAAGCAGCTATGCCTTCAACGAGGGCTTACTGAATGACTACCTACTGTGGACCAGCCTTGTGGACCAGCAACACAATATCCAAGTCAGCCTTGTCTCTGTGCCCAAGTGGCTCACACTCAAACAGAGGGTGGAAAAAGACAAACATAAAGCTATGCTCTGAGCAGAGTAGAACATTCCAGAAAGGAAACATGAAGCATGATGGCTCCTTTTCGTAGAATTGTGTACATCTTGATAGAGATCACAAAAACACATATGAGACACGCAACTGCCCAGAACTAAATACAAATCATAAGCATGATTGTGTGAATATGGAAAACCCGTGTAAGGGTGGTGACCAACTTCCATCTCCCTCCGGTACTGAACTAGTCATGAAACCTTACCACCAGGGAGAACTGGAGAGGGGGATGGACTATCTCCAGGTATACGTTCTGACAGCTGCATAAAGCCTTGGTATAAACATAGAAGATTTCAAAGAGGATTTGATTATAGCATAATATTAACTAAAGACATATAACATGACAAAATTAAATGCTCAGCAAATAGCTCAGGCTCTGTACTTACTAGCTCTTTTTTTAAATAAATTTTCATTTAAATTTTAAAAAACAATCTTATTTTATATACCAATCCCAGTTCCTTCTCCCTCCCATCCTCCCTTGCCCCACACCATCCATTCCCCAGGTAGGGTGAAGCCTCCCATGAGGGGTCATCAAAGTCTGACACATCATTTTGGGCAGGACCTTGGCCCTCCCCCATGTATCTAGGCTGAGAGAGTATCCCTCCATAGGAATGGGCTCCCAAATCCCATTCGTGCACTAGGGATACTGGTTCCACTGCCAGAGGCCCCATAGACTGCCCAGGCCTCCCAACTGACACCCATGTTCAGAGTGCCTGGTTCAGTCCTATGCTGGTTCCCCAGTTGTCAGACTGGGGTCCATGAGCTCCTACTTGCTCAGTTCAGCTGTTTCTGTGGGTTCCCCCAGCATAGTCTTGACCCCTTTGCTCATCACTCCTTCCTCCCTACACCTGGATTCCAAGAGTTTGGCTCAATGCTAGGTTGTGAATCTCTGCATTTGCTTCCATCAGCTACTAGATGAAGGCTTTAGGATGGCATTTAAGGTAGTCATCAATCTCATTATAGGGGAAGGGCATTTAAGGTAGCCTCTCCACTATTGCTTAGATTCTTAGTTTGGGTCATCCTTGTGGATCCATGGATGCTCCATATTGCTTCTCTCTGCATCTGCTGGTGATTCCTGAGTCCATCCTCTTCTGCTCAGCAGGTCTGGCAATCCTGCCTAACCTTATCCTGTTCACCTATTGGCCAGTCTGATTCTTTACTAAGCCAATCAGAGTAAATACATATTCACAGTGTACAGAAGAATTATTCCACAGCATTCCCCACTTCTCGTGTAATCAAGAAGGAAGTTTTTAACCTTAACATGGTAAAACTATATATAGCAAAACAGTAATTAAGTAAGAATTGCATTTATAATATCCAGTCCATTTGCATTTGGCAAAAGTAGAGAAAATACTCTATTATTTTGTTTATATTTGTGACTCTAAAGTTTATATCTAATTGACATTTTATCATAACTAAGGAAAAATTTGACTATCTAGTCTTCAATTCCATCAAAGACCGCAGAGTAGTGAAATGTTATATAACAACAGGGAAATCTGGAAGCCTGGAAAGTAACCCTAGGTTCTGTAAAGTTGAAGTATCCAACTTTGGCCTACAGGCTTAGTATATCTGACAGACATTTCTGAGAATCAGGGAATTTTGAAGGACTATCCTACCTTGTCTTGGCAAAGTTTGGCAGTCATCCTTTGGGTCCTTCTGGCCCAGTTTGGATGGTGTACTGTCATAAATTGAAGCAAGGGCAGTTTCTTTGAGCACATGGCTAACTTTTGCCATAAAGGAAAAAGAACTCCAAAGAGAGTTTCTTCAATACCCATCATCTTCTCTAAAATAGATTGGTGCTGCCAAGAGCAGATGTGTCTCACTGTTATGAAAAGCCTTGGATTACTAAGCATACCAAATGCCATATCCAATAGGTCTTTCAAGTGTTTGGAGACAAACTATCAATCTAAAAATATCTGTGTATCACCTTCAAGACATACCTAATATGACTTTAAGTTTGACTATTATAGACAACCATTAATCTGTATTTTAAATTGAAAGACCCCCGAAGAGGTACTTTCGTAGAGGGAGACCCACACCCAGGAATCAGCGAGGCCACCAACTGGATGCAAAAAACAAGAGGCTTTATTGGAGACGCGGGTACCCGGGGCGACTTAGCTTCTGTGTGGCTAAGCGCCCCGAGCCAAGGGAAAGGGGTCCTTATATAGGGAAAAAGGCGCAAGCTAGGAGCAGGGATTCTATTGGATAATTCTAATGAGGCATTGTACAGAGCTATTCCCATTGGTCAATGCATATGAGGCGCTATACAGGGTTATTCAAATGAGGCAAAGTACAGAGTTATTCAAATGAGGTGAAACATAGAGTCTCTCAAATGAGGCGAAATACAGAATCATTTCTATTGGATGGTTCAAATGAGACACAGAGCCATTCCAGATCAGCATATTCTCAAGGTCTGGTGTCTGGTACAACAGACTGGGTGAACCTGCTTGGGAGGGAGCCAGCCGCCATGCGTGTGGGTGCGCGCGCGTACGGGAGTGTCACCGAGAGAGAGAACGAGCCAAGGGGCGGCGTCTTTCAAAATTATATATTACTCTCCAGAGCAAGTACCAGGATAGGCTCCAAAGCTACACAGAGAAACCCTATCTCAAAATACCAAAAAATAAAAAAAAATTATAATTACATTTTAAATGAGTTGCATAACCACAATGCACCGAACATTAGAAACATACATGTAGTATAGTAAACAATCACTTTAAATTTGTATCAAAAAACCCAAAATCTAAAGAACAAGGTGAAGACTAAAAGAAAGATAACTGGAATAAGAAAGGATCACTTGAGTGTCCAGAAGAGACTCCAGCCCTTATCCAGGGTGTCCATGGTCTATTCCTTGGGCGTGTTTCTTTAATAGACCAGGGAGTAAGTTCTGGCGGAATGGTGTGATGTCATCAGAATCTTCAGAATGTTTGAGTTCACTTAGTTACCAGCAGTGCTCTCCTCACACTTGTGAGACTAAGCTCTGGGGAAGCTTTGAGAAAGTCTTAAGAGCCTAGGACTTGAGAGAGTAGAGCAGGTACTCAAACAGGTGAGTGTCACCCAACGCTAAGCTAGAGTGAATGTCAGGGCTCAACTGTGTTCACTCAGAGAGTCTTGGAGGTGTGTCAGAGATCGCCTGGGAGTCTCAGAAGGACAAGTGGTGATGTGATGGAATGGAAACAGGTTTTAGACTAAGGGAAAGAGAGAACAGAAAGTAATGCGAACATAAGGGGAACACAGTGAAAATGAGGAGGATGTTCAAGAGGAGTCTTGTCTACCAATGACTGCCCTTGAGAGGGAGCCATAAGGAAGATGGTGTGGGACACTTGGGTAGTATTTTTAAGGAGATTTAATTACCTGTGAATTTATAGTGATTCACAGAGATATGGAATGAGGTGATGACAATGAAAACTGGTGTGTGAGGTCATCCAGCCTGACTCTATTGCAAACATGTCTGATGCTCAGTAGCCAATCTTCCCATTGGCAAATCCACAGCGGTGGACCCACAGTCAAGGGACACATGCTAGGCAAGTCCAGAAATCACCTGCTCGTCTGTAAAGGAGGTGAATTGTAGTCCTTACCTCACAGACTACCAGACTGAGGTCGTCTTTAGCCACTGATTAAATCCTAATTTTATAAGGAATCAAGAATGGTAGGGTATTGGGGCTGGCTCAGAGGTTAAGACCACTGACTGCTCTTCCAAAGGTCCTGAGTTCAATTCCCAGCAACCACATGCTGGCTCACAACCTTCTGTAATGAGATCTGGTGCTCTATTCTGGCCTGCAGATATAATGCAGGCAGAATAAATAAATACTGAATGCATAATAGATAGATGATAGATAGATAGATAGATAGATAGATAGATCTTAAAAAAAAAAAGAATGGCAGGGTATAGAGCTCCATAGGAGAGCACTTCCCCAGTATGTGTAAAGTCCTGTATTCAAGAGCCATCACAACAACAACAAAAAAAAAATAAGCTTTCAGCCACCATTAACTATATAACCACTATTGTAATTTTTTATTATTTTCTTTTAGAAAAAAGTTACACAGAAACTGCCTGGGGTTGTAATCAGACTGGGCTCCTGCCCTGTTTGGGAAACCAAAGAAGAAAGGCTTCCTTTATGTCTACACCAGTTGCCTCAGACTACACACCAAGGCTTCAGAACCCAGTGAAAGGTCAAAAGAAAAAAGGACTTAGGAGAGTGAAGACAGGTGTGTGTGTGACCCTTGGTGATTTCCCCCTGGTCCTCAGATGAATGAAAGATGAAACAGTAGGGGCATCACACCTACACACATTCTCTTCCAAAACTACCATGAGTCAAGGTCTACAGGGGCATGGCAGGGGGTATCCTGGTTAGCCAAGAGGTCACTTCTTGTTAACTTTTTATAGCTATGACAGGCAGAAGATCAGAGATGTCATCTGTCTCCCCAAAGATGTCCAGCAAACTCAATGATTCATGGAAAGAGGTGCCAGAGGAGAATGCTTGCTTGGCAAAAAAAGGTACACTGAAACTCAATTCCAAGCCACATTTGTAGATAAGTGCATATGGGGATTAGGGACATTCTTCATAGTTATCTTCACCTGTTCCTCAATGTGTATGAGACAAAAAGAATTCAGCACTGCCCTGTGTGGGTCTTCCCGTCTTGCAGCTCCAAAGGCCAGCAGCATTCGGGCTTCCAGGGATGCCTCTGCAGGGGATGTCCCTGAGCAGAGAACCAAGAGGAAGAGGGGACAATGCAAAAGGAAATTGGAGAATATCCTGACCGGTATGTGTATGCATGTCCCTTGATATTCATGCCCCAGTATGAATGAAACAGCATGGCCACTAGGCCTAGTCCCTCCCTCTTCACAAACTGTCCTAAATCAAGTTCTACAAGGCTATACCAAGAGGTGTCCTGGTGAGCCAGGACATCACATCCTTGGTCACTTTTGTAGCTATGTTAGACAGAAGATCAACAAGTTCATCTGTCTCCATAGGGCTGTCCTGCAGGCAGAATGATCCAGGGAAAGAGGCCCCAGAGAGCAGCCTGTGCTCAGTAAAGAACAGAACAGAGTTACTCAATTTCTAGTCTCCTTTGTAGATGAGTAGATGTAGATTTCAGGAGAGCTCTAGGAAACAAGTAAGGCACAGGTCTCTCTGAGATGAAATCATGTCACACATCTGGGAGCAAGTGTGGCAGGGAAAATACCCAGTATAACTTGTACCAGATTTCTTCACATGTCACAAGGAATTATGAAAAGGGATAAACCCAGCAATGCCCTGGTTGTCCCTCCTGGGGTCATATGAAGCCTTTTCTTCCTGCAGATCCAAAAGCCTGCACCATTCTTGCCTCCACTGATGCCTCTGCAGGGGATGTGCCTGAGCAGAGAACCAAGAGGAAGAGAGTCCAGAAGACAAGGACCCTGACAGATGTCAAAGCAGGTACGTGTCCATGACTCCTGTACATTCTGGTCTCTGTCTGAAGAACTACTTGCAGGCGAGTGGCTACTTGTCATTCTCTCTTCATGAAGCAATCAATTCCTGAGTAATAGTCAGGAAGTTGACAGTGTTCCCAATGTGGACACATCCATGCTAATTAGGAAGGTTTGTCCCCACAGTTGCCCAGGACAGCAGCCTGCAGGCCTCAGGCACCTCTGAAGCTATCCTTGAAGGTGCCTCAAACACAGCCACCTCTGAAGCTGCCCCTGAAGCTGCCTCAGAGCCGAAGTTCTACAGGAGGAGAACCAAGAGGAGCATATGGACTGTGGACCGCATCGAGGGGACAAAACTCATCATAAACAAAAAGAGAAGACTCAGTTACCAGCCTGAGGACCTTGAAGCCTTCTACCGAATTCTGGGTAGGTTCTCTAAAATCATGATTGAATACTTAGGGGCAATCCTCAACATTGAGTAGTTGTGGGGAGTAGTGGTTCAAATAAGTAAGGCACAGGTCTCTCTGAGATGAAATCATGTCATACATCTGGGACCAGGTAAACTATCCAGTACAACATGTACCAGTCACAGGCAGCTGTTTACTCTGTTTGAAATGAGCTGAAGAAAACATATACACACACATTCAGTTCTTCCGTCTCCTCGGCTATGATTCCTGTGTTCAGTGCCTATGTGTGGCTCTGGGGAGCCATATTGGATAGTAGAGGAAGAGAATGCTTTAACCACTTGAATGCACGACCAGACCCGTGCCGTCTGAGGGTCAGGGAAACTGCAGAAGACACATTTGTGCAAGAGTTCTTTGCCTGGGCAGCTGGTAAAAGGACACATGGAAGCCCACAAGGGCAAGTCTTCACTAGAAAATAGTGCCCACAGGAAGGACCTTAAAGACAGATGGACTCCTGTGGAGCAGGCAAAGCTGGTCACTACCTCAGAGGGAGAGGAGGGAATAAGCATGTAGCTATGAATTCTCCATCTCTGCCTAAGGACTCAGTCAACACACAGAGCAGGGTATATTGGTACACTTCCGATATGGTAAATGGGTAGACTGAGAGGTCATAGAGATTGAAGGCCACACCTAACATACTGAGTGAAGCAAAGCTTAATATTGAAACCTATACTAAATCACTTTGGTGAAGAAAAATATCAAATGTCATCACTGACCAAGTTCAGGAATCAACAACTGCGATATTCAAAATGCAAAACCACATGAATGTGTCAATGACAGAAACAAACTATGTTTCTGATATGAAGGCTAACACCTTCTTAAGAGAGGTCCTGCTTACTCTCAGGAGCCAGCTCAGAGGGACAGGTCTGGAGGCCACACATTGCTTCCAAAACTTCCCCAACAATAGAGCATGTGACCCACCTGATGGGAATTCCAAGTCCTTCTCATGCTTGCTTTCTTTGCAGAGGATCCTGTGGTCCAGAACTTCTTGGCAGCTGACATTTTCTTCAGGGTGACTGACAAGGTACCTGTGAGATCAGATATTCTACAGTCACAGCCCTCAGGGGATAGGCAGAATGGATAAGACTGTATCAAGCCAGAATAACCCAGGGATGCTCTCAAGGACAGAGGCAGGAGACACATCCTTATTATATGCCCCAAATTCCTTCAGGTTTTCTATTCAGCTCACATCCACAAAGAAAATGGACTCCAGCCCCCATTCTGTGTATCATTGGGATATAAAGATCAGATGCAGAAGGTCCAGGCCCCACTGAGATGTCTTGCCCTCTTGTCTACTGCCTTCCTTCCCTAACCAGCTCTCTGTCCACACAGTACCTGCTGTCCATGGTGGTGGAGTACTTTGGCCGACTTGGACTCCCTGGACATCTCTACAACAGGATCCACTTCTTCCTGGCCCTGTGAGCATCTCATGGGGACCATTGTTCCCAACCCAACTCCTAAGGCTTCCATCAGGACTGAGGGGTGACCCTCAACCACAGAGTAGTGGAAACTTTCAGGGGGCAATGTAGGGGAGGGAAGAGGGTGCCCTGACGACATGAAAGTAGTTAAGAAGGAAGAAATGGAAGGTTGCCTTTCCTGGGCTCAGTTCTGAGGACACCTGTACAGACTGCTTCCCCATCCTAGCTCTAGAATGCATGCTCCCAGCTGCCTCGGACTGTCACAGGTGGGGACATGCACTTCCTTTTCCCTGTGACAGCTACATTGCCTGTGACATGGAAGAGGATGACCCCATATCTAGGAGGAGCATCTTTCAATTCTCGCTGGGCAGAGACACATGGCAAGACTTGTACAAGGACTTCCAAAGGCTTCAGAAGGAGTTCCTCCAAGTCATAGATTACCGAGCCTGGGTCACACGACAAGAGTGTGAAGAGGTCTGCCAGGGTCCAGCCAGGGGAGTGGGCAGACAGGGTTCAGCCAGGGGAATGGGCAGACAGGGTACAGCCAGGAGAATGGGCGGACAGGGTTCAGCCAGGGGAATGGCTGGACAGGGTTCAGCCAGGGGAATGGCTGGACAGGGTCATGCCCAGGGAAGAACAAGCATGAGCTCATCCTCCTGGACTCACCTCTCATTTCCCTTTCAGATCCAGAACCAGAACCCACACCACTGGGTCTGGAGCCGGGTGCGCCAGAGCGCTCCTTAGGTTCCTAGGCCTGGGAACCATCAACAGGGTCATGAGTCAGGTGAGTGTTGGTCCTGGCCAGGAATCCACATGCATGGGCTACCTCTGTCCTTGAGTCCCGAAACTGTAACCTGGGCTGTGTAGACATGGGAGGAAGCTCTGCTGTCCCTATCTGGAGTTTCCTCTGGAATAGCAGCTTGTGGGGATATGAGCACTGCTGAGGTATAGAAGAGTTTAAATCCCAATTCTTCAACTGGATTGCATCAAATGGCCATGCAGTCCATGACACAAGGCTTCAATCTGCATGTCTGTTGTTTTTTCTTTTTAAAAACTCTCAGAAATAGTTTTAAACTCACATTGTCTAGCCAGCAACTCCTGTTTGAGCTCAGGTGACATTTAAAAATATATCTAGATGAAAAACCCTGGAGAAATCCACTCTGGGAAGTGACTCTCACTGTGTGTCTCTTGGGAGAGAGGAGAAATTCCAGTCTCTGCCCCTAGGTTTTGCATATTTAGCTCCCACATGAAGTGGGGTGCACTGAGCTGGGCCCCTGAAGGACATGATCAGCTTACTTTTCCATGGGTAAATGAAGTCATGTCATCTCTGGTCTCTGAAAACAGTGAAATTGCTGGGAAGAAAAAGGAGGGAGTGGGGACGGAATTCTGTGAGGGAGTCATAACCATGACACAGCCAGAAACAACCCTGACTGGCACCACACTCCTAGGCACACTTCGTATGGTGTAATTTCCTTTTATATTTGGTTTTACAAAGTGGGGAGAGAACTCTAGTGAAATGCTTAACAGTCTCTTCTTCCAGGCTGAAATTTGTGCTAAAATAATCCACTAAATATCCTCCCATGCTTCAGTGCATGACAGAACCCTATGTGTCCCAGGGGGTCAGAATGTCAGGGAAAATATGAAATCAGGACCCTGCATTATAAGATAAACTCAGTATTTTGGAAATTTTACCTCATCACCAGGACTTTTCTAAAATGGCAAAACACACCACATACACACAAGGAATCTTGGGAATCCAAAACTAGCACCAGTTGTCAGGGCCATTTGGGGTTTGTCACTTGGAGCAGTGAGAAGTGACATGATCTTCCACGGTTTTTTCCACTATGAACTGTGTGTGTGATTGCAGGGGTTTGCCTTTATCCGAACAACACTTTCTTTCTGTCCTTGTACAGCTCCTGCCCAGCCCTGCTATTTCCTCCCCTCACCAAGAAACCAGAACTTTTCCTCATGGTTCAAGCACCTGCAGAATCCAACATCCATCCCTTCAGGATAAAGAATCCAGGGAGAGGACATGTTCCAGCAATGTGACCAGGAAACCAGTGCAGTCAGTGAACCTCAGGCTTCACGGATGGCAGCCTACAATGGCCCTTGACAGTCCTTCATTGGATTCCATAACAGCTTGGAGGGTTCCAAAAAAAACATATTCAGCATCTAAGGACAGGAGGCTGTGATGTCACATCAAGTTCAGGAGTCCTGAACCAGTTCAGGAAGAACTCAAGAAGCCACTGCCCCTCTGGGGTATAGCAGGGGACCTGAAAAGGAGGAGTGACTGAAATCAGAGGATGAGGTCAGGCCTGCGTACAGGGCATAAGCAATGTCTTTGGAAACTCCTGTCAGAGACCCTCCCCAATAGTCTACCTGGTCTCCAAAGCCGGCTTATCACACAAGATGATGGAGAAGTCTCACCAGGGGCTGATGGGAAGCACCGAGACCCTGAATATAATGATGTGGAGACCTGAGGTCCTTATCCAAGTAGGATAAGAGAAAGGAGGTCCCATGAAATGCAGGCTGTTACCACAGGGAAACAACACAGCTTGCCAAGGAGCAGACAAGGGTGAGGAAGAGGTGAGGGGATGAGGGTCTGTGGGTCACCCCAACAAGAGAAACAAAACAGTGATAGCTACGGAACAGGAAAGATGGACTCAGGGAAGACAAATGGGCAGATCTCAGGTCATAGTGAAGATTACAGACTTAACAACTGAAAGGCAGACAGGATTTAAAAAGAGTAAGAACATATGTTCAGCACACAGCTGACGTTATTCATACTATTTTGCTTAATTGTTTTGGTTATACAGTTTTCACTCATTTTGTTATAACTAATATTTTGATGATAGTTTTTGCTTATTTGTTTTAAATTGTTTCATTATAAAATTCTGGTTATATATGTTTGATTATAATGTTTTCATTACATTTGGTGTTTTACAAATTTTTAGAGACATTACTTTGGTTTTATCATCTTGCTTATAATATTTCTATTACATACCTATTATGTTAGTCTGGTTACATTATTTCATTTATACTGTTTTTGTTATATTATTTTTGATAGCATTTAGGATATGTTATTTTGCTTATATTTTTATACTATTTTGACTATAACAATTCCATAAATTTTGTTAATAATTTGGGTGTATTATTTTCATTGTAATGGTTTGGTTATGTTAATTTTTTATTATTTTGATTGTAATGTTTTGGTTATATTATTTAAATTACATTATTAACATCACATATTAATTTGTTATTTTCATTATAAAATGTCATCACATTTCAGTAATATTGTCTTGGTTATATTATTTTGGTCGTGATGTTTGGTTCTAACATCATATGGCTTATATTAGTGTTACAACAGTATTTGTATTAATAAAAATGAATTATTGGCTAAAAGGACTCTGAATTGCTCACAAAGCAAAATTCAGCTCCTGACTATTTGAGAGAATCCAAAGTGATTCTGAGGTGTTAAAAATCAAGGTCGGGCTCTTTCCACCATCTTTGAGCGCCGTCACCATGGTGCACAGTTTTCTGTGTGTACTGGCCAGTGCTCTGAAGAGCATCAACAATGCTGAGAAGAGATGCAAACGCCAGGTCCTCATCAGGCCCTGCTCCAAAGTCATCATTCGGTTCCTAACTGTGATGATGAAGCACGGTTACATTGGTGAATTTGAAATCATCGATGACCACAGAGCTGGGAAAATGGTTGTGAACTTCACAGGCAGGTTGAACAAGTGTGGAGTGATCAGCCCTAGATTTGATGTGCAGCTCAAAGACCTAGAAAAGTGGCAGAACAATCTGCTCCTGTCCTGTCAGTTTGTCTTCATTGTACTGACAACCTCAGCTGGCATCATGGATCATGAAGAAACAAGAAGAAAACAAGCAAGGAGGGAAAATCCTGGGATTCTTTTTCTAGAGATGTAAAACATAAAAAGCCTCCATAGACTGTTAAAAAAAAATCAAGGTTGGAGGCGTTGGTGGCGCACGCCTTTAATCCCAGCACTCGGGAGGCAGAAGCAGGCGGATCTCTGAGTTCGAGGCCAGGGTGGTCTCCAGAGCGAGTGCCAGGATAGGCCCCAAAGCTACACAGAAAAACCCTGTCTTGAAAAACCAAAAAAAAAAAATCAAGGTTGGAGGAAGGGGGCTGGAAGGTACGCACCCCAAGACAAGTAAGGATACACATCCGGATTGCAAAGGAAAAGAAGCCCAGGTCCAGAACTCCACCAGAGACTGTAAAGAACACATGCACGGAAGATCAGCAAATACATCACCTGTCCTGCAGTCTTTCCTAGCTTTCTCCCTCATGTCTGCAGCCAGACTCCTCAGGAGGTCTCCCCTAATCAAATCTGTTCTTAATTTTGAAGGAATCCATAGCTATTAGTTTCCAATGGAAACAAAAGCACAGCCTCTCTTGCAGTGCAACACATTTCCTGACTTCCATTCTGAAGACAAGATACCCTAAAGTATACAATTTGTTTACTTCAGCAGTCCCTTCTATACTCCACTGTCTCTCAGCAGCTGTCATTCTCTGTTCATTAGCACTCAGAAAATTCAAAATTAACAGAGCACCATATAAGGTCCAAACAACTTGTTTCCCATCCTTAGGTGGCTAATTTTTTTTATTACTTCACTCTCTATATCCATTTTCTTTTCATTGTTTAGCATCAAGCACCTTTTTAGACATATTATACCTTTGTAGAAGTTTATGTCAGGACCTGCCTTTCTGTGTGTCTGCAGCACTGCTGAATGTGAGAGCCAAGTTAAGGGGCAGTCCGTTCACCTGATGGTTCCATGTTGGCAGCTGGCTCAAGCCTGCAGTCAGAGCCCTAGTGGTGTCTCTGTCCAATGCACACCTCAGTATACCAAGCATCAGGCCACCTGAGAGACTGGAGGACTAGGCAGGCATGTTGAGCTCCTTGTCCAGAACTTTTCTTACAATTCAAAGGCCCTATGTTTTGATATTCAAGCCTCTATGTTGGACATCATATGTAGTCTTGGTTGGACTGCCAGCCCACAAAAAAATAACACAGAGACTTATTATTAAATGTGATTGCACAGCCTTAGCTTAGGCTTGATCCTAACTAGTTCTTAGAACTTAACCCATATTTTTTACATCTACATTCTTCTACCAGGCTCATTACCTCATCTCCATACTGTCCATCCTGCTTCTACTGCTTCTGGCTGGCAACTCCACCTTTCTGCTTCCCAGGGTTCTCTCTCTGCCCAGGAGTCCTGCCTATACTCTCCTGCCTAGCTATTGGCCATTCAGCTTTTTATAACAATCACAGCAATACATCTGCACACAGTGTACAAACATCCAACACGACCACATAAGTATGGTCTTTTGATTTTTGACAGATGTGCCGAAATACACACTGGAGAAAAGACAGGCTCTTGAACAAATGATACTGGGAAAACCAGTTATCTACACAAAGGAAAATGAGACTTAGGTACTTATCCTTCACCCTGCATCAAAGTCAACTACAAATCTGTAACTTAGACCTGAAAATGTGTAAAATAAGGGTAACAAGCTGATTTCAAGATACAGGCATAGGTAAGGAGCTACCATTCAGGACTCTTGTTGCCAGGGAAGAAAGCCAACAATCAATGAAGCCAGCTCATGAAGCTACAGAGCTCTATAGAGCAAAGCAACCATTAAGTGCAGAGATAGCATGCAGAGTAAGAGAAAAATCTTTGCACACTGTACATCTGACAAAGGTTTAACCAGAATACACAAG